GGGGCCGTGCCGCCACCCCAGACCCTGAACAGTGGGCTAGTGTGTGGGCCTGGGGCTGAGGGCCCCGGCCGGGCTGGGTCTCGCTCCATAAACCCTGGCTGGCCGGAGCTGCAGACATCACAGTGTTGACACAGGGGTGATGTCACTGCCGGCCAATGGGGAGCCCCCCGGGGGCCCTGCTTGCGCCTTTCCGTGCTCCCAGGCCCCTTCCACACACGCCACATGCTCTGAATGCAGCCTGCATAAACCGGTTTTTCTAAATGTCCTTTGGGGCCCTGCTTCCCCCCTGGGCCCCATCTCCTGCTCATCTCACCCCACCCTTGGGCCCAGCCTGTGAGCCAAGTGGGAATAGGGAGTGGCAGAGAGCCCTGGGCCTGCCCGCTGTCGCAGGCATGTGGGCCCCAGACCCCTGCACCTCTACCCCCCCGGCCTCTCCTCCATCTGCCACAGCCGTAGCTGCCACGATGACTCCCCACAGCCACCCCCCAGGCCGTCTCTTCCGGAGAATGTTCCTCTTGGGAGTATTCGGAGCCCCCTCTCTGCTCCTTGCTGTCTGTCTCTGCTGTCCTGCCTTGGCTCCCTGGTTCATGCGCTGAGAGCTGGCTATGCATCCTGCACATGCGGCTCCCCTGGGCAGGGCTGGACCCCCGCGCCTCTGCGTCCCCAGGGCAGGCCCCTCTCTCTGTTGAAGGTCAGCGTGTTCCCAGGCCTCCTAGCCACCTTTCTGTTCTTCTATTCCTGGGCCCGGTCTCCCCCCCCCCGGCTCCGGGGTGCGCGCTGCTGTGCGGCCTCCCCACGCCAGGCCTCCGTGAAGCCTCGGAGCCTCGTGTCTCCCCAGACTTCCCCAGGCAGCCGGCTTTCTGCAGTGAGGGGCCCACCTTCAATGTCCCCTACAGCCCTGCCAGTTCTTCTCCCTGGGGTTCCACATGGCACCCCCTTCCCGGGAGCTTGCTCTGCACCCACTGCCGGGCCTCCCTGCCCAGGGGCTTGGCTCGTGCCTGCGAGCAGAGGCCCCTGGCAGGAGGGAGGAGGAGCCTGCAGCCCCTGGCGCCCGTGTGTGTTTACTGGTCCAGCCCCAGCCCCGCGCCGCTCCCCGTGGACCCGGCCTCCCGCCTGTGTCCAGCCAGGTGTTGGGTGATGGAGCAGGGCTCCCTAAGGACAAGGAGCACAGTGTCTGCTTTCTTTGCAAGCACAGTGCTGACAAGGAGCAGAATACCCACAGCGACTGCTTCCAGGAAACGGCTGCAGGGCGGGCGGGAGCCTGCGCGGAGAGCAGCCCCTTCCCAGCAAGCCGGCCTGCAGGTGGGCTTCCAGGAAGGGGCCCTGCTGGCTTCCCTCAGCCCTGGAAAGTGGCCAAGTATGTCACTAGGAGCAGGCCGGGGAGCGGGGCGAAGGGGGAAGAAGGAGAAAGGAGAGGCCCGGAGGAGGGAAGGAGTGATAGGGGGGCAGGCCTGGGCTTCGCAGCCTTAGGGGAGAGCAAGGCCTACCACAGCTCCTTCTTGAAACTTCCAGTCTCCCTTCAGGAAGTCACAGGTCTCCACTCAGGCCTTTGGCTCTGTGGGGCTTGGCAGGCATCACACACACATACGTGCACATGCATACAGGCACACAGGTACACACATGTGCATAGGCGCACATGCACACATACACATGCACGCACACACATACATATGTACACACACGCACACACGTGCACACCCACAGGCACCTCCGTCTGGGGAGGCCATTCCCTGAGACCCAGCTGGGGTTCAGGTTGAGGTGCTGGTGGCCTGCCTCCCCTGTTGGGAGGGCCGAGGAGGGCACCCACCTGGACCCACGGTGCCCTTAGCTTTGAGTGCTCAGATACCTCCCCCATCTCTAGAAAGAAGAAAACCATTTGTCTTCCTGGGAGCTGGGGGTGGGGTAGGGGCTGCCCTCCTCTGGGCCCCAACTGTCCTTTTCTTTGAGCCTTCCCAGGGTGCATGGTAGTCAGACCCCAAAGTCACGTTCCCCTGTTAAGGGACTTTACTCCCTTTGTCAAGTTGGAGTTTTCTACCTCATCAGTGGGGTACCGCGTGCCCTGACTCTTCCCACCCCAGCTGCCCCTACTCCCTGCCGGAAAACGTGCTCCTAGGTCATAGAATTCATGCTGAGACACGATCCCACACAAAGGCACAAGACACACACAGCCAGGATCAAGGGTCCTCCATTCTCCAGGGCACATCACCCCGCGACGGGGCCCCGATCACACACACACCCCGAGGAGCATCTCCGGGATGGATGGGAGGCAGCAGCACACAAGCAGTACCTCAATGCCGCTTCTGTAGTGGGGTGACTTGGCTTTCACTCAGCATAAACTTGCCACTGAAATGTGCGTGGGTGGAGGGTTCAGGTGTGAAGACCCGGCGCCTAACAGGGTTGGGAACGTGGCTGGCAGCCTGGGCACTCTCAGGGTCTCCCCTAATGTTGGAAGTTCCTCCCTCCCCAGATTTCCCCACACCTTTGCAGCCAGCCACTGCCCCCACCCACCACCCCCATGTCGGGGTTCGGGAGTGAAATTCAAGCCCCCGTTTGCTTCTCCGCACTGAAGTCAGCACAGGGGCATTTTGAAAGTGCCTTTGGGTGTTGGGGCGCCTGGAGCCTGTCTAACAACCTTCTGTAAGCCCCTTTTCTAAAAAGCAGGAAATCGGGTTGGGCCAAAGATAAACACACATTCCAAACTGGCAGGCAGCTCAGAGCTGGGGGCTCGGGCAGCCCCCTCCAGGGCGCGGCAGGAGGCTCCGAGGCAGAGCACCCGCTGCAGGGTCCCGGGCCTGGGGCTCCCTGGCTGCCACCTCACCCTGAGGTTTGGCCCCCAGAACGCTGCTCCCCCACCTCCTTGTCTCAGGGCCCAGGGCCCAGAGCCCCTCCTGCACTCAGGGCCTGCCCTGGGGACATCACCCGGGAACTGCCCTAGGAGGCCTGTTCTGCTGCAGGGGGCATAGAAACGCCAGCTTCCTGGCGGTAGGCGGTGCCCACGCATGCACGTCCTGCTCTTGGGGGCGGCCAGCGTGGATGCAGCCATGGGCAGTGCTGGGAGATGGCAGGGGCCACCAAGAGGCCTGTGTCTCTTCCCCAGCAGTGTGAGAAGGAGCAGCTCCGTTCCTATACAACTCCCAGGTGGAAACCCCAGAGTGAACGTGTGTCCTTCATACACCCCTGGGCTCAGAACTGTAGATGTGAGCAGCATGCCTGTCCTCTCCAAGTGACCAGGAGGAGACAGCCCCTAAGAGCTGACCCAGGTGACAAATGCCCAGGATGGCCTGCCTTTCCCATGGCCCCAGTTCCCAATCGTCCTTCCCCAGGTGGGGATTTGAAGCGGGCAGTCTTCTGTGTTCCCCAGGTGAGGTTTTCTGGGTGCCCCTCTCCCCGTTCCTATGGTCCTCCTGCCCGGCCACCTGGGGAAGCCGGCTTTAATCTCTTGAGCCCCTCTTTGTAAACCTCCTGCAGAGCTGGATGTTTATAATAAAGGCCGTTTATAGACCTAACTCTTGACATGTAATGGACGTGTTACTTCATCCTGCCGGCAAAAACCCACTTGGGTAAGTCAAATTGGCCTGTAGGATCAGGAAGATGAATGTGACCTCACCCTGGGCTGGCCCCAGCGACCTCTGACCTCCTCTGTGAGATGGCGGCAGCCCCAGGGGCACCATCCCGGAGGCTTCGAGAAACTCCCTCTCCTCTCCGGATGCCTGTGTGCCTCCTGGGGGGCGACCGCCCCCGGGTTTTAGCACACAAGCGTGTCCCTGGAAACCCGGGGTCTCTGACAGACCAGGTGGGGAGCGAACAAGAGAGGGTGCAGGGGGGAGACCCGACCCAAGGGGTGTGGGGGGCCACCCTGCTCTTCTGCCCAGGACACTGAGACCCCAAGGCAGGCGGGCCGGCAGGGGAGGGGCGTCCCTAACCGCCTTCCTGTCTGTTCTTTGTCAGTCGGGGAGGAATTTTCCTGACAGCTCTGAGCACTGGGAATGGGGGTGGAGGGGAGGGGGGAGGGGGAAGGAATGGGGAGGTTGGGACCCCAGCCTTATTTCCAAGGACTGCCCCGGGTTCCCAGCGCCTGTGCAGCCAGGGCCCGGGAGCTGGGAGGCCTGGATGAGACAGATCCTGGCCTCTGGCCGCTGTGGGGACGCTGTCCCCGAACCCTGAGTGGGCTGCCTAGGCACCCAGGGGGCAAACCCCTGCACACGGGGGTTCTTGGGGCTCCAGCGGCTAGACGTCCGTGAAAGACCCCGAGCGCCCCTCACCCTGGGCCCCCTGCTCCTCCCGCTCCTCCTCCCTGTAGCCAACGTCAACTCCTTCCTTCTTCCTTCCGGCCCCCGGCCCCCTGAGCACCTCCGCCCCCAGGCCACCTGCATACTGAGAAGCCCACCAGCTCCCATCCCCACCCACTGGCTCCCTGTGGGGGTCCAGCCCTCTGGGGTGGCCCGGTTCCCATCCACAGTAGAAGCGGAGCGGGAAGGGGACAATGAATGTCTGCATGGGCTGGGGGTTCGGGACCCTGAGGGGTGGGGTCACCCAGAGCACCCTGTGGGCCTCCTGGAATGGCCACAGTCAGCCCTTCCCCTGTCACCTAGCCCACGCCTCAGGGGTCTGGGCCAGCACCAAGGTTCATTCTGATGGGACTTTGGGGTGGCAGGAGGAACTCACTTGGGGTGCCTGACCCCTGCCTCAGAACTCAGGACCCCTCTGCCAGCCCAGGCCCCCCTGTCTCTGTGGAGCCCCTGGCCCCACAGCCCCTCCCCCACTGTCCTGCCTGGTGCCCGCCTCCCCTGCACCCCTGATGTCCACACCCCCTCTGCTCCCCCCACCTCAGGAGCCCTTCCCTGTGTGTGCTGTGCTGCACTTATCCCAGAATCCCCCACCCTGGAACCCCCACCCCCTTTTCATGTGCTTCCTCCCTGCTCCCCCAAGCCCCCATCCAAGGCTGGCCTCCCCCCCATCATGCCCACAGCCTCGATTCCAAAGACCCCGAGACAAGTTGTTGTAACAGAGTTTATTGATGATGAGTCCAGGGCTCCTGCTGAAGCCCTGGTGGGGAGGGGCACAGAGCGAGATGGGGCGTAATGGAATGCTTCAAGGTTGCTCCTTGTCGCGGGAGCCTCCAGACTAGGCGAGGGTGGGCGAGGCCTCACGCACACGACCCGCACCCAGTTACCCGGCCCAGTTGGAGGGCGGCCGGGCCCCAGGCGGGCGCTCGCCAAGGTGGCTCTCACTCACACACACTCGCACGGAGACTCAAGGCCGTCTACACAGCTCCAACCAGTGCAAACGACTTAGTGCAAATGAATTCAGAAGGGGCGGGGGACAGAGCTGTGGAGGCTTCGAGTCTCCCAGGAAGAAAGACAGGAAAGGTCAGAAGCAAAGAGACAGAAGGATGAAGAAAAAGAAGAGGGAGGTGGTGGGACGGGGTCATCCCGCTGGAGGAGCTCAGCGCTGGGATGACGTGGTGGCTGGTGGTCAACCGTCCACGGCAGGGCGTGGCCACGAAGATGGAGTCGCTGGTGGGGGGTGGGTGCTGCGGGCGCCGCTGTTCCCATGGCGTCTTTGGTGTTGGGTCGATGAGGTCTCGTTCCTTCAGCTTCACCTGCAGAGAGCGACATGTGGGTCAGGGGGGCAGGGTGCTGGGGGCCTGAAGGCTTACAGAAGGATTGCGGGGCTCACCTTCCAGGGCCGATTCCTGAGTGAGGGTGTGCAGTGGTTTAAAGTGCAGTATTCCTGTTATCAGTGAGAGGTACATGCAGACGTTTCTGGATTCAAAGGCCCAGGCGTGAGCTGGGTAGCACCATTTCTGTGGGTGGGGAAAGAGTGAGGTCCCACTGAGTTCCTCCCACGTGACCCCCAGCCCCCCCAAGAGGTGTGGCAGGAGGCCCCTCACCTTGCATTGTGTGGGTTCTGGGAGTCCAAAGACCAGCAGTAGTGTGCCGACCCCGTCAGGGAAGTCAAGGAAGAGACCCGCTTCTTGCCGCAGCCTGCTCCACCAGCCAAAGATGTTCTGTAGAAGACAGAGAGGGGGCAGTGAGATGGCGGCTCGGCCAGGCGGTCAGGGCAGGGCTGAGTCCCGAGCAGGGAGGGCGGACGTGCTCACCAGGAAGGCCGGACGCGCCTCCTCTGTCCTCGCCGTCACTCCGGACCATGTCATGTCCCTCTCCGCACGTCCGCCGGACCTGGCGTCCTGGCCTTCGGCGGCTGGTGGGCTCATCCACCCCAGCTGGAGACCTGGCTGTGGGGAGGACGAGAAAGGTGTTGGTGGTATGGGAAGGGCTGCGTGGAGGCTGAGGGGGGCAAAGGAGGAAAAACTCACCCTTGTCTCCAGCCCGAACGCCGAGGCACCGATCCCTGCTCCATCGCCGCCCGCGAGGCCCGCCTTGGCCACGGGCTCTGGAGGCCAGTGCCCCACGATCGCCGCCCACTGTGCTCCTCACCCTGCCTGTGCCCGCCTCCCTCCTGAGAAGACTCATTCACTCCCCCCCGCCCGCCTCGCCTAGTCTGGTCTCGCCCCATGCCCTTGACTCCCCTGGATGCTGAACTGTCTGTCAAGCCAGTCCCAGGGGCTGGGCGGTGAGGGCATACAGTGTCACCAAGTCCACTGTGGGCCCTCTCCGCACCAGACCCTGGGCCGCAGTGCCTCGTGGGAACGGCGCCCCCGGGCGGGGCCCCTGCAGCCTCCTTGCTGCGAAATGTCCCGGGACCCCCTCCCACGGCCGCTTCGCCCTCTTGGTGACATCCTGCTGCGGCTCCCCGAGCACTGCCTGCCTTCTTGCTCTCTCTCCAGCCCTCGAGGCTCCAGCATTGGCCTGAGAAGGCCCTGCCGGAGCTGCCCCTGTGCCATCTACTAAATGAATTACAGTGGGTGAGTGCGGCAGCTGGGGACCCCTCTGTCCTGTGTCCCCTACTTCATTCCTGTCCGACCCCGGGCTGGGGTGCCACCCCACCTGCTGGACTCCTCGCTGGCTGCCTCTGTGCTCCCTCCCTGCCCTCATGCTCTTTCTGCCTGGGATGGGCTCACAGCCCCCCAGCCTTCTGCAGTCTCGGCTCCCCCCGAGAAGATGTCACCTTTGCTAACTCTCCTGCCCCCATTCTGCCCCTCTGCCGGGCGGGCATCTACTTCTCCTCGTTGGCCCTCGATCCCCTAAACCTCCTTCTTTCAGAAGGTCGGGGACACGAGGTCCGGGGAGGGGAAGGGACTCACCTGCCCGGCAGATAGGGCTCTCACCTGCCTGCTGCTGCCAGCTACGCCTCCGCTGCCCAGGCCCTGGGATCAAACCCTGCCCACCAGTTTCCCTCGTCCAACCAGCTGCCACGTCCTGAAAACCAAAAGTGACCGGGATGAATGTCTGGCTCCCCCTTCTCTCCAGCGCTAGCTCGGACCCATCGCCCCCAGCCGATGTTGCCCTATCTCCAGGACCCACCAGCCCTCCCCCGAGCTAGCCTTCCACCCATCACTCCTGCCAGACTCCAGATGTCCAAGGTGCTCCTTGGCTCCCACACACTCTCCTCCAGCGCCCCATCTTCCCTGGTTGCCCCTCGGTTCCCCGCTTCCCCAGTTTCCCCCGTTACCCCCCACCCCTCCCACCCTTCCCACCCCCTCCCACACCCTGCTCCTCGGCCCTAGCCCGGGCTTTTTCTAACTGGGGTGGCCCCGCCCAGAATTCCCGCCCCTGCCCTGCCAACCAATCAGAGCAGGGCCCTCCCGAGGGCCCCCGCGGGGCCCACCTCCGCCCTGGACAGTTCCAGCACACGTCTCTCTCACCCTGCACCCATCCTGGAATTCTCCAAAGACGGCCTCCCCACACCCCTACTTTGGCATCCGGAAACAAGGCCTGGCATCGCCCCTATCGGCTCCCTCTGGGTCAAGGACTTCTCCTTCCAAGACTGCTGCCTCCCCTCCAGGGACTACACCCTGCTGCTCCCTCTCCTTGTGCCCCGCACACACTTTGCGCAGGACTGGGGGCCATCAGCATGCCCCTGAGGACTCAGATGGCACACAGAGCCCCTTCCTGCCACCACCACAGCTCAGACCTCACGTTCACTCTAGGGGTCCTGAAGTCCACGGGGTGTGGTTCCTGGAGAGTGGGGGGTATTGAGGGGCAGATGGAAGAGCTGCAAATGCCCACATGGGCACGGTGCCAGCCCCTAGCCCGATTCCCATCCAGTTGGCTGAGCTTGTGCGTCACTGCGGCATCCGCAGGACAGAGTCCCCGTAGCCCGCTGCGCACCCAGGTCTCCTTCGCTGCCACTTTCCCATCTGAAGACCGCACGCTGCCCTGCCAGGCTCACAGCTCGCGGGCGCACTCTACTGACAAGCGGCCAGAGGCCTCACAGCCTCTCCCAGGCCCCCCACGGGCACCACTGCTGGGAATGGAGTGAAGACCAGAGAGCTTTGTCTCCCCCAGCCACTCCACTGTGGGTCCGGGGGTTACCACCTTGGCCTCTCGGGAGGGTCGTTGGGGCCCTGCGGTCCATGGGGCTCACCTGAGTCTAGAGCATAGAAGCCGCGGTGGCGGGGGGAACCAGGGCCAAGGGACCCAGAGTTCATGGTCCAACCACCCAGCAGGGCCTCTGGGATGTGGAAGGGCTGGCCGTGCCTTCAGCAAACCCTCTGCTCCTATGGCCTTCCCGGGACGGGCTGGGTGCTGGCTTGCTGAGAACTGACTGCCAGGCTCTGTCGTGGGTGAGCCCCAGCTTCAGGGTATGAAAATTCTCAGGCTTTTCCATGAATTTGACCCCTGTGTTAGGAGACCGAGGCAGACCCCTGCATTTTGCCGAAAGTGGAGTCCAGCCTTGGTCACCTTCAGACCGTGATGTGAGCCACCACTGCCGCCTCCCGGCCACTTCTGTCTCCTTAGCTGCAATTGATTCTGCGCTATTGCTGGCAGATAAGTTGGTTGGGGACGGCACCCTAAACCCTAGAGAGACTCGGGAAATACAAACACGCCAGGCAAGGCGGCTCCCCAGAGCCCTCACTCTTGCTCCAGGTGCTGCCCTGGAATTTCACTCCCAGCAATGCGCGGGCACAGGGAACACCAGTAGGGAAATGCACCTCTCCGTGGGCAACTACTGCCAGCCGGCAGGACGATCCCTGAGCATGGAGCAGAGAAGCACACCCACACCACAGAGCATACTAACCCCGTCAGGATCCCCACCCTGTCCCGATTCCACAAACCGTGGGGTGTCTGCTGCACCCACATTAGCAGATTATCTCTGGAAGCACAAGGACCCTGGACCCCAGAGAAAAGCAGCAGTGGCACTCCCAGCTCTTTAGCATCTGAAGCTCCTAAATTAGCATCTCAAACCTGCACTGAATGGGAATGTTAATGTCTGGCCACTTAGGGCTGAGGAGCTCGGAGTGTTCACGGGGAAGCAGATGCCAGTTTAGTAAAAGGCTTGGATTTGGGGGCTGTCCTTAGACGGAGTTGGATATGTGCTCTGGGATGGATGTAAGATTTTGGCGGAACATGCTGTGATCATCACATGAGTAGGCATGACTTGAGTCCCATGACACTGAAGGGCTCAGAGTGTGACCTGTGGCCACAGGACTGCAGATACAGGGCTGCGGATATGGGCCGACCTGAAGACCCGGTGCAGCTCACATGAGTGTCCTATTCCCAGATGACCCCTGTGAACCCCGCGGTGCCTGGCTTGGGTGACCCGGAATGTTTCCGCAGGCAAACCCCAGCCAGGGTGGGCTCAAGCTGTGATGTGCGAGCCTGCACTGCCGCCGCACGGCCACTTCCAATTCCACACTTACAACCAATTCCATGCCATCTCACCGGTGAGACCAAAGGGGAAACCTCCGGAAATGCCGACGTGCTACAAAGGAGCCCCCAGGCTCTTGTGCCGGCCAAAGACCCTGCGAGAAGGGTCTCAGGCTGAGTCCGAGAGCCCCATCATCCATGGAACAGGGGCACCTCATTGTCCCCCAAGTATCTCCTCCCATCTCCCCAACCTTCAACAGTGTACCCTGGGGTGAATCAGACACACAGCGCAA